CAGGGGCCCTCAGTGGGAGCCCAGACACAAACCCTGCAGGGCTCAGGGCCACCAGGGGGCGCTCAGGACCCATGTAGCCTGAGAACCAGCCATGAAGCAGGTGCTGGGGAAGGGAAAATTTCTTTTCCTGTCCTGTTCTGAGGCTTCCCCTCCATCAGTTGTTTCCTGTTAAATCAGTCCCCATTGGGTAAATACCTCTGAAATCTCTAAATTAAAAACAAAGTTGTTCCCACAGGAAGAAACAGTCACACTGCAGCGTAAATTACGGGGTAGAAACAGCTGTGCTGGGGCCCCGGGATGAGTGTCCTGAGGAAGCTCAGGGGACCTGAGGTTTTTCCCATCAGGGTTACAACAGACCATGTGGTACCCTGTCCAGGACAGTCCTTGGGGTCCATTTTAAAGCCAGAATTGCCTGGGCCAGAATGAGAGGCATGTGGACCTGGTGCCCCTCACACCTGCCCCTCCTGCCCCCATAAATGCAGTCGGGTCAGCACTGGCCACGTTCTCTCCTCCCGCTGGTCCGTTTCCTGTCTGTGCAGGCTTTACGCTCACACCCTCTTTGTACCTTGTACCCCGGGAGGGGAGGATGTGATCTCTGCTGTCCAAATCCAGGGTGCAGGACCTCACCTGGAGCTCCGGGGACCAGGATGTGGGGACCTTCGTGAAGGTCAACCGCAGTTACTCACACCTTTGACCAGAGCCCCTCCTGTCATGGACTCACCTCGGAAATGCACGTGGACATTCCCAGGCGAGGGGACACGAGGGCTGGCCCAGATGGATGTGCACGTAGACCATGCTCTGCTTGACCTGTCGAGGCTCCACCTTCCACCCCTCAGCCTTGGGGAGGTTCTCAGACGTGTTTTTGGTAGAGGGCTTTTTCATCCAGTTGGAGAAGGGTGCATATTTCCAGCTTTATGTGTGATTCCTTTCCCACTCTCTCAGGACCAGGTGCACCTGGGACTACACTGGAGACTTTCTGCTGGGGAGGCAAGGCAGTGCTGTGTCCACAAAGCTGCCATCCATGACTCTGAGAAGTTCCTTTCTGTGAAGACACACCTGAGAGAATTCAGGAAATATGCAAAGTGTGTAATATCTGTAAATATTTTCAGAAAAGATATTCCAGAGTGAAGTAGTGTTTTTTTTTTTAGCTTTTGGCTATAGGGTGCGTGCACTCATGAGAAAGACAAAGAGAGACAGAGAGATAGAAAGCGAGAAATCACCCTCCAAGGGGGATGGACACATTGTAATCCCTTCTCCTCCATTGTCCTCTCGGGATCCTAGGCACACACACACACACACACACGCACACCCGGCGTGAGTTTAAGCCACCGGGTCCAGGACTCGAACTGTGGTTGACCATGTGGGAGTTCAGCAACATAGCCATTATGCTAACTGCTAGTCCTTGGAGTGAAGTAAATTATAAATTATAAAAAAGAAAAGCACCTGGACACCAAATAAAGAAATGACCAGTGTCCAGGAGAGCACAGC